ACCGTTGGCCGAAAGAAAAGAGTCCAAGCAGTACCAATCTAGTTTATTTGACTGTCGTGGAAGAATATTTAAGCAGTAATTCTCTTAAAGAGTGGTTGGTTGTTTCTATTCTATGTGTACAGTCAATGCTTACATGCAGGGCCTGTGTCTGACACCCATTATGAATATTAAAATTCCCTCTGGCCAGTACCTTGTAAACATAGCTGTATTGCTAAAGAAAGAAAAGGAAAGTTAAGTGGAGAGGAAGAGAGAAAACAACAAAGGGCAGGAAAAAAAAGAAAGAAAGAGAAGGGAAATATCATTTAATTTCAGGGATCTGAGGAAATCCAGATGAGAGTCCTGTAGATGAGCATGCAAAATCAGCTTTTCAAATTTTCCAGGACAAATAAAGCACAAATATGATTTCAGCCTTTCTTCCCGCTCCACATACGATTTTACTTTTGACAGAGGAACTATTAAATTTATAAAATAAAATAAAAATATTACGGCAATTTTGGAAACTGGTGAATGTACTGCAGAGGCTTACAGGCCTTCCTGTTCTCTCTCCCCTCCCCACATACCTCATCATTTGGAGATGATTTTTTATAATTGCATATATGAACAAAAATAGATTTTCTGTCTGAGAAGTGAGGCAATCATCATGGGGGACATGGTAAAATAGTGAATGAAACAGAGAAAGTAGATTAGGAACTGCAGGAATGTTTTTTAATGCATTAAAAATTGTTAGAATTGTACCTTCATCATCTGTTCCCTCCATGTTATCACCTTGTCTTTTGTATACTGCAAGGGGATCAGCTTTAGCTTGAGGAAGAAATAAAGTCCTGTTAGACTTGCAGACTGCTGTAGCATATTGATTGTCTAGTCATCCAGAGTATGACAGAGATATGCCGTGAGTAATAATAGCTAGACAGAAGGAGAATTGACTATCATTTAGAAAATTATCAGACACACAGCTTTTCCAGTGACAATTTTGTGGAAATATTGTAGTTAAAAGGGCATTTCAAAACATTTTGTGACTCTGAATACAACCAGACTGGTGTTACAAAACTTGGATCTGTTTTTAAAAATGTTCTTAAAAACGTGTTTTTAAAAAGTCTGATGTGTTTGAGCCTAGGGCTTCCCATAAAACACTGGGGCCAAATGGAAATAAACGTGGCTCTAATTCAAGGTTTGGATTCTGCCCTAAAGTGGAAGTTCAAGATCACCTCAGTTAAAAAAAATAAGATAAAAAAATCTTAACTGTTCTCTTAACATAAGCAAGCTGAGGAGGTTGGAAGCATAATATAATGGTTTTATGTATATGCACAGACACACGCACATGTACATATATAGCTGTACAATGGTTATAATGATTATGATGAAGAAATATCAAACAGGAAAAATAGGTTTGAATTAAAGATAAAGGAAATAATAATTGTGATTATTACGTATGAGTAAGAGCTGTGTGAATGCAAGATGATGCTGTGTGAATGCAAGAGCTGTGTGAGCTGCATGATGGAGGAGCAATTCCCATGTTCTGAGCCTGCACCGTAGGGTTCTCGGGGCGGCAATCTCCTCCCGGATCTCCAAGTGGTGGCGTTTGGACACCGGGTTGCTATAGCAACCCGGGAAGGCCTGCCTGGTTTAACGTCGCCGAAGCACCACGGCGTTCCCAGGATGAGACTGCAAACAGGACCTGTCCTGCTTTCCTCTTTGTGGTTTTCATTAAGTGTCTACATACTGATCGTCTAAGAGAAAGCACAGGCAACCCTGCTGCCCCTTGAAGCGAACTGTCCCGCAGAGAAAACGAGACCAAATCGTTGTCCTCTCAGTGGTGGCAAAAACAGTCGAGCCTTATCTTTTAGTTCAAATTTGATTCTGTTTACATGTTTCAGAGTGTGGGGGGGAAGGTGTCCCTTTGACATATCTGTGAAAATGGAAGGAACAACAGCGCTAGTCACGTTTTTGGATGAGCTTGATGTTTGAGTGTGGCTGTTTGCCTTGTCTTTCTGCAGTGGAGACAAGTTAAAGGTTAGCCTTTTGTTAGTGATTTGTGAGAGAATCACAGGTAAGCTGGGGGCAGTGCTGAAACATATAAACTTTTGAAGAGTCCTCGGCTCCTCTGGATGAGATTACATATCAAGCATGATGGATTTTTCTCGATGCTGCTTTACAGGTTTTGTGTGCACTTAATTTTTAGGAATAAGAATGATCTGCATTCATACAGAGAAGCTGCTCTGGCTCTTGCTCAGAAATAAAATACAGTTTGGATGAGTTTCCTGCAGTAATCTTTCTTAACTTCTTAAGAGCAAACCTAAATCACACGCCCCAAAGTGTTCTGGTATTCATCTCCTTTTTAATATGTTTTTGTCACTGTTTGTGGCAGCCTGTCTGTCTTTGTATCTCTTTGGCTCAATGCTTCCCTCCACGGTGTGCAGTCCTCTCAGTGTTATGATAGGAGCACTCCATGCACCCAGAGGTGGCTCAGGGGACAGTGTTCCCCACCTTTGTCTGCAGAATTTCTCCGGCAAAACTTTGGGGCAGAGCAAAGTTATAGCCTATAGGTGCACTATGAGCCTTTGAAAAGGAGTTGTGAGATGGTACTTGGTTTGGTAGCCCTGGGGACTTGTGCCACAGAGACAGATCCCTACCTTTGCAGAGATATAATCTGGTGGGAGATGAGCACAGGACAGGAAAATATCAGTGAATAGGAGAGGAGAGGGGCTCTGTCCCCATTCCCAGTACTGATCTTTCTGTATATACGTCAGAAAGACCAGAATGTTATCCATCTCTAACAGGCACATCTAAACATATAGAAGATGGCGCTTGTCCAGCAAATATTAATTTTAAGGAAATAATAGGGAGTTGAGGGGTAGATGGAATAGAAGGATGAAAGATGTATAAAGAAACAACAAGACAGTGTCTGGGCTTATCACTGTGCAAATTAGCTGTTTCCCCTGAATCTAAAAATCTATCCTTTTACAAGCTCCTCTGTTGAGCTTGTAGAAATACCCCTCATTTATTCCTAGCTGTACTGTAGCTGAAATGTTTATTCATCAGGTTTATATAAAGCAAGTTAAATCTCATATTCCTTAATCTATGGTGTTAACTGAATATTAACTGAGCAGTCAATATCTGTTAGCGTGATAAGCTAAAAGAAACCTGCCCTTAGATATTAGTCTCAAGCAACACTACATTTTTACTGAGTGAGGAGGGAAGGTTGGCTATATTCCCTTCTGGAACCAATCTCTTACTAGAAGTTGTTGGAAGTTCTGGCCCGTGTTTGCAAACCACTACTGTTTTCTGTGGTCTTTTCTTCCTTGGCATCATAAACTATTTGTGAGGGTAGTCAGGCAACTGATCCAACCAGATCTTCTTGCAAAATTATTTCCTTTATAAGGAAGTATGGAAAGATCATATCAGTGTCGTTACTGTTTTTCTGTACTCACAGATATTTATGTAGAAAAAAATAAACACATGAAGCCAGAAGGAAAAGCATGATACTACAATATTTTAATAGAAATACCTAGTGCTTTTCTTCAGAAAAATCTCTGTGTCCTTTAGAAAGATAGGTCTGTACCATTGTGTCTTTTTACAGATGGGGAAACATGGAGTTCAAGTGGTAAAACTAGCACAATCAAGCAGGTTCACTGCAGTGCTGAGAACAGGACCTGGTTCTCCTTCCCAAGCCACTAGTTAATCCACTAAGATGTTCTGCGATGCCTTTAATAGTTATGATGAGCATTTTCTACCTATCTATAGTTGTCCTCTAGGGTTTCTATACAAAGGCTATGTTTTCCTATTTAATATTTTATTCAATCTTGCTGTGATAGCTTTGACCATCTGTTTTCCTGCCAGCACATTTGCTGTGTCTTCTGTGGCTGCCTTCTCCTTGGAACAATCTTTGACTTTTCCTTTCCCTCCTTGTCCTCAAAATCTACATATGCTAGGGTATTGAGAGGATTCTGACTGCCTTCTGATGGTTACAAGGCAGAGAGCCAGAAAGGATAGCTAAATATGATATGTGAGTGTGCGTGGTTTGTAGCTAGACATATGTTCAGTCTTACTCAACACTTCCAATCAATGCAAGCAGATGATCATCTATTCACAATATATCTTTTGTCATTCCACTGTAAACTTGTCCACATGTGGCTGAAAACAAGAACCTCAGATTATACAAGTCTCGGTTTACATATGCCTAAGGAAAAGGCAGAGGTAATCGAAAAATATTGAAAGTTTGTAGGCTATATTCTCTGAATGTTCTCATAGTTCCCTCCATTAGCAGACATGTGGCAGCTCAGCAGACTTACTACAGGGCCTAATTCTGGTATTTTCTCTGCAATTGTGAGGATTTATGATACCAGAACTAAAATGAGATGTGTATGAAGAAAATGGATGGGGAATTAAGCTTCTGAGGGAGTATATTTACCCGTGTTTTTACTTCTTGTTGCCACTCAGGTGCACACAACCCGTGTTGTCTGAGTTGGATCATTTTTCCTTCAGGAAAGAAAACCTGCTGCCTGAGTTTGTAAGAGCTTTGCCAATGCACTCTAAAAGACCGAAAGTTGGAAAACAGATACCTGGAGCAAGTTTCAGGACAACTTGCAAAATTTAGAACTTTAATTTTGGCCCAATAAAACTTTACTGCCTCCTTTTTCTCTTGGGGCTATAAAAGATGACATACTGAATTTAGAGAATGAAGAGCTGCCCTCCCCAGACTCTCTGTGTGGCTGGATAATGATCAACAGATGCCAGCTTATGCATCAGAAGAGTTGAGCATGAAATGCAAAAGGTTCTCGGCACATATAAAACTTGCCAACTAACTGTTTTAATATATGGCTTTATTTACATTTTGGAAGTTTTGGGGGCTTTTTATTTTTTTTTCTCATGTCTCCTCCACAGATATTTTGTATGAAAAATTCAGCGTCTGGGCAGATATCTGCCTGAGCTTACATGTCATCTCACAAAGTCTATGGAGTGCCTGTACAGAAATATTATTCAATTAATTTTCTTTTTATCATTTAGGTCTTTCAGCAGCGAAACTGCTGACTGAGTCAGGTTTGAATGTGGTGCTACTGGAAGCCAGTGACAGAGTCGGAGGAAGAACTTTCACACTAAGGGTAATCACTACCAAATGTGTACATTTTATATATATTTATATATATGTGTGTATGTACGTTTGTATATACCCAGCCTTCTTGCAGGAATACCTACTTGAAAAAATTTCTAGAGCACTAGCACATGAGAAGTTTTCTTCACAGTACAAGTAGGGAAGTTTGGCATGATGATGTGGGAAGAAAATTTCCATGTCATCTACAGGTTCTGTAGTCGTTGGTCTTTTCCTCTGGGAAGAACATGATTAGTTTTAAAAACGTGTCCTAGGGAAGAGACACTGGAAAAGCCTCTGTTTAAAAAATGCCCATAAGGTGAGTGGGCTGTCAAGCCCTCAAGCTGATTTATTACAAGCCTCGTAAGGCATGACATAGGATAAAGGTAGGGGGAAAGGTGGTTGGGGACTTCAGTCGACTTGTCTGCCCTGACACTTCTTCCTTTTGCTTTACTGTGACCCAGGAGGCCCTCTTCTATTTAGAAAGAGCATTAGAAAATCTCACCTGTACCACTTCCTTTAATATTCTGTTTTGAACCAGCCATTGGAAAGATCCCTCACTGAGGGAGCAAGAGCAAGATCTCTCTGGTTCTGTGTTTCTTTCTGTGCCTCTCAGGCTGTCCTCCAGTGTTTGTTAGTTGGGCTGCTGCTAAGTCACAGCCTCCAAGTGGCAGTGAGCTCTGTCAGAGATTGTTGGCAGTGGCTGCTTCAAAGCTCCAACAGAACAATGTGGGGTGGGAAGGGGGAGAGAAATCAGGACCAATATGCTCTGAGAGCATTTCACTTGAAGGATGCCTCTGGATTGCTCGTTTGATTCATGTGCTATTTGCAAAGGTCTAAATATTTTTTTTATCTTTTTTTTTCCTTTTTTCTTTTGTGTATGTTGTGTGTGATAAACTAGAATAAGCAAGTTAAATATGTGGACCTAGGCGGAGCCTATGTGGGACCAACACAAAATCGTCTTCTGCGGTTATCTAAGGAACTAGGAATAGAAACATATAAAGTGAATGAAGTTGAGCACCTGATACACCATGTCAAGGTAAGATACTGTCTCTTAAGCATGCTGCTGTAGACAGGATATACTGATCTCCTTCCTCATTGTTTTGCAGCAGTGTTACAGTGCAGTATGCCAATTTAATTAAGTATGTATCATCTGAATTTCTCAGAGAAGAATAAATGTGTTGGCAATGAAGAGCTCATCCAAATTAATCTATGCGCATGCATGCACATCTATGTGTATTTCTTGCAAATACATCCTGGTAATTGATGCTTTCGTTCAGCTTAAAGCTCGTACTTAAACTCTCAGAAAGCTTCAACACGTCTCAACCATACAGCCATTACTGTTCTACATGGCTCTCACATAACCTGCCTGAGATATCTGAAACCTTATTTCCTAGTCCTAGTAGCTGGCATATCTGGAATCAAGGTCAAGGTTTCTCAGGCTGGTCTTCCTGAACTGATAACAATTATTAGCCTGGCTGAAATAAACATGACAAGTTAAATTCATTTTGCATATGGACAATCTAACCTGTGTAGCAAAAAGCACTGCTACAGGAACTGCAGAGGACCCTGAGAATCAGTGTTCTTGTGCTTGTCCAGGTCTAGTCCTGGCTGTTCAGGACCTCAAACAGGAAAGCTGTGGCAGAGCTAATTTTCTCAGTCTGCATACTGTGCTTTACTCAAAAGAGCACACTTCCTCTCTTCCAACTGTAGAGCAACGCTGAACTCCTGTAGAAGACAAGCCATCCATGTTAGCTCTGTGGAATTGAACGTGGGTATTCATTATATGTTTAGGAAAAGTTATTGTATGATTACTGGCAAAATGTATGTCAGATAGCAGTTGGTGTTTAATCAAAGTTTAAAGGAAATATTGGCAGATTTAAATAGTAACAGAGAAGTGGCATCCTGTCATATGTTTTCCAACATTTTTTTTCCCTATTAAGCTATTATGGAAAAGTATGTTTCAAACAAGGTTGTTAGGAAGACTGTCAACAATTATTCCTACTTAATAGGACTAATAGGTACATCCCATCTGTTAAGTATGCCACTGGTGTTACCCATGAAGCCAAATTTTCTGCCTTTTCACACTGAGTCTTCTGAATCTCCTTGTTGAAAGTAAGAAGGTCATGCCATGATGGTGAGTTTTAGGGATAGACAGAATATTGACATGGCCAATCTTGATGACCAACTTTCAGGGCAACCTTACTGACCTAGCATGAGAGATTGCAAAAAGCTGCATGGAAAGAAGCTTGGTATTGCCAAATGTACATCTGTCATCAGCAGCCATAACCAGCTGGCTGTTGTAAGAACTTCATTGTGGAGGAATACTGCTCATACTATGCTGACTGAAATGGTCTATTGTTTTCCAAACAGCTTTTAGACTGAGAACTGTGTGTGGCACAAAGTAGTTCAGATTCTTACCAAGCATAATCTGCGTTTCCCTGGCCACAAATACTCTCTCTCATGAGTTGCCTGAGATAGGTCAGGTTGCTTAGAGCCTTAGCATCATCTATGGATTTCTTTTAGTCCTGGGCTGCGAATACTGGAGTGTGTCAAGACTCTCAGCCTTCCTCATGGCCCAGCACTGGCAGGACTTGCTGACATTCAGGGACATGCCCCTCTTCTCATCCCTTGCACACCTCTGCTGGCGCAGGAGGGCATACCATGGGTTTGTTTGTGTGTTGGTGGTGAAAAGGGTCTTGAATTGGGGAGCTAAGACTTTTCTTCCAGCTTGTGACCGGGGCAGCAGACTCTACAGGCAGACCCTACACCTGTCAAGGGACCCTATTTAATTGAACGGTCCAGAATTGCACCCAAAAATTTGGATATGGAGGAAGCCACCCTTCTCCAGCGAAGCATTCAGGCAATCCAAGCTTTCGGGTGGGTGGGGGGAGAGTTGCCACTTTGACTAGTGCCTGCACCTCATGGGTTAAAAAGACCCAGAAGCAGCAGTGAGGAAGGCAGAGGACCTAGGCTCACTCCAGCACCCACATGCCTGGGTTAAGACCTACTGACAGAGCCTGGTAGTAGGCAGGTGGTGTCCTCACATATGCCAAGGGGATGGGTATATCTGGCAATTTGAAGCGGACAAGTTGGCTTTGTGTAAGTGTTGTCAAGAGTATGTGAGACTGGCACTCTGCCTTACACAGAATTATGGAAAAATCGAGTTTGGTGTCACTTGGTGGGGGCTAATCCAAACCAGGCTCAGAGCAGGGTGGACCTTGCAGTTAGGTCAAGTTGCTCAGGGCCATGTGCAGCCAAATGTTAAAACTCTCCAGAAACACTGATGATCTCTGTGGAGAGCCAAGGCAGGCTGAAGTGCCCCCAGGACATCTGTAAGTTAAATGCAGGCAGAGAGTTGCAGGATCAGGCTCCTGGTGTGGCTGCCTGTGAGCAGGCACCTGAAGAGAGGTATCCAGGGTTCTCTGGCAGAGTATTATCACAGTGTTACTTAAGAATAGCTAAGGAATTAGAAGATGAGCATTATACATCATATAGTAAACACACGTGCTGTTCTGTGGCCAAATCAGTGTAGTAATTGTTGGCCTTTTGCATGCCCTGTAGCTGTAAAACATTCCTAATGGGTCTTTCTCTCTCAGCCATATGGCTTGCCTGTGCTTTCCCTCCCATATTTCACAAACACTGTAAGTGCCTTAGGCCTGACTAGACAACAGAAATGCTTGTCTGCTCCCTGAAATCTAAGCAGTACTCTCAAAACGTGAGTCACAGTTTGTAAGCCAGATTCCAAAATATACCAAGGTCTGTCTGCTCTGAGTGAATTTGAATTCACATGCTGACCTAACCTTTGTGACTCCAGCCAAATCTAATTAAATTCTGGGCTGCAAATTCTCTGTGAACCCGGAGAGGCAAGGGAACCTAAAGGTTTTAATTCTTCTCTCACTACGCTACCCGGCATCACAGTGTGTCTTGTAAAATCAACTGCTGTTTTTGCGTATACCCAAAGGCAAAATCAAGCCTTTCATAGTTAATTAAATTCATTTTAGAGGCTTTTTAATAGAAGTAATGCATGCAGGTTCTTTGTACTACAAAATGAAAAGAACACATTTTGTTGCTCTATGTGTGGGTTTCTGCTAATTAGGCTTTGCTGATTTGATTGGGTTCTGTGTTTTTTTCTCTTTAATCTTCTTTAATGCCAGGTTCTGTTGTGAGATTATTTTTGGTTTTGCTTATGTGGGGAGTGATATCTTCAGAGAAACTTGAAATTTTATTTCTTGCATTACAGTTTTGCTTTCCTTCCGCTTGCTAAACAGCCTTTTTCATGGTCTTTGAAAAGAGATTAGTATGTTCCTTTCATTTGTGTAAATGCTCATTCATCAACCTCAGTGAGGAAATTAGTATAGCTCTGCAAATAGTATTTGGTAGGCTAATTTCTGCCTGAACACCATCACTTTTGAATAGTGTAACTAAAAGTAGGTTCATAAATCCAGATTTAAGAAACAAAACCAGAAGCATCTGAGTTTTTAAAGTCTCCTTGCAGTGCTCCCATTGAACCAATGAACAGATGTTAAACACATACTAAGATCAGTTAACATTTTTAGCTACCTGAGAGGATTCAGGATCCTGATTTAGATAGATTTGCAAATTTTGACCTTTGGCTTTCGTTTCACTCACCAAAATGACATCTGTTGTCTTAGTAAATAAAAATATGTGTAGTATTTTTTGCAATTTTTGCAAAACTTGATTTCTTCATATGCAGTAGCCAGTGTCTACCTTTTTGCTAACTATGAGGCCAACTGAACTCTCTCTGATCCCATTTTCACTGATGGAGAGCTTGCAAAGAAAACCTGTCAGCACCACAGGACTCCACTGAAAGCCTGCATTAGGCCAGTGGAACTTGTTTCTCAAAACCCAGTGGCTAGTCTTTGTAGATTCCCCACTGACATTGATGGTATGTTCTTTGTCACTAATATCCTTTTTTTCTTTTTTTTTTTCCACCAAATCTTTCTATGCACTAGTATCATGATCCTTCCTGGAGTTTCCCCAGATTATAGCATCACTGCCGTGAAGTTGTTATAACATTTATTCCTCTTAAGTCCTGTGTCATTTCACTGCAGATTGCCAGCAGTGCTAACAGCTAGCCAGGTAATTAGCAGTTTTGACAAAAAGTGAACTGCATCTGAAATTGCTTATGTGGTGATAATCAGCAAAAGTCCTGCTAGCTTCTTCCTTAGCACTGAAAGGCAGGCTGTGAAAAAAATCCATATGTACTTGGGGTCTTTCAAGTCAAAATGCGGAGTGAAACATGAAGCATCCTCTCCCTAGTCCCTAGATGTTTCTGTTTTGATAGCAATTTGCTGAATCCCCATTCCCACCGTTAGGCTCTTCATAAGAGGATGGAGTTTCCTTATACCCATATATCTGTCTGCAGCATTAACCAGGTGCGTCTGAATGAGTATGTCATCTCTCCTTAACTTTGGTAAGGGGGCACAACCTGGCTGCTCTTGACAGTTCTAACATGAACCCAGTCTGCAGCACATCCCTAAAGATATTCTGCTGATAGATGGTGCAAATTTAGTCTTATATGCAAAATACTTTCAACTAAAACCACAAATCTGTACAAATATTGTAAGGCCACCTACTGATCTACAATAGATCTGTGGTAGTAATCCTCCTGGATGTCATTTGTTTTCAAGACTATTGTGTTTATTAAAATGCAGTTTGCCGTGGTCTTTTTCATATATAAGAATTGTGACTGCCTATTATAGTGCGATTTAATTAGAAGCAGGATAAATGATTACTGCATCTAAAAGTATAGGATGTAGTCATGAATATTCTGTGGTTTCAGTGCTCTAAGGCTAAGCAATATGATTTAGTTAGGTCTTTGACCTGCTTTGCAATTCTAAGTCTATTATCTCTTGGCATAGTGTATAGCATAACAGCTTAAATGAATTTTAAATGACTAGATGGAATTGCTTTCATTTTTCTTTGTATATCTTAATTAGAGTGCATTCAGAGAAGAAAAGTATATGAGACTTAGTTGCCATCAATGTTAAGTGAGGTGAAATGCCATCATGTCCC